AAAATTGAAAATTTTAAATCATACTAGACACAATAAAGATTAAAAACCCTAATTATTGAACTCATTATATTCAAAATATGCCGTGAAATAAATCAAATGGCGAAAAAAAAAAAAACCCAAAGTTCTTACCTGATTTTGTGAACCGAAGCCTTCAATCTCCAAAAAACTCTGTTTTTCTCAACGATTATCACAAATTAGTAACAAAAAGTTTTGATTCACAGCTTTAAGATCAAAATGACTACAAATTTTGAAAGATTCATGCCCTATTTGGCATGAAATTTCAGAAAAGGCGGAAACCCTAAACACCGAATTTTTCGTGATCCAAAAACAACAAATTTTTCCACCATTTAATCCTTGAAAAAGCTGAATAAAGCTGTTTACAGCCTGCAAATCAGATCACATGACAAAAAAAACAAGAAAAATGATCAAAAAATGACAAATTTCAAAGAATCCCGTGAAGAACACTGTGCAACCCGTGTTCTTCACGGACTCGCCGATTCCGCACAGTGAATCGGCGAGTCACTGTGCGGAATCGTCCGGTTCTCTCTAGAACCGGACGATTTCCGATTTTTTAACCAATCCGGTCCCTTTTCGCGATTTCCGAATCGAACCTTGCGAGTCTGGTTCGACTCGACGTTTTTTAAAACGCTGGTTTTAAGTATTGGAAACAGTGTATCTTGTAATACATTTTTTGAACGATCTATTTCCATTGATTTTCAAGTGTTCATAGATCTGTTCAATCTACACAAATTTTGAAGTTTTAAATTCTATAATTAGAAATAAAAAAAAACGTTCAAGCTATTACAAATATTTTCCATACTAAAATAACATCTTTCGATACTATTTGAAGACGCGTCTTACTTTGATTGGTTAGGGCTTCAGCCTTACGCAAACCACACCCATATGGTTACAATAGCCAAATGATAAGTACAATATAGATCAACTAGTCTTTTCAATGCATATTCGATTTAGTTACGAATATCCTAATGATGAGTACAATATAGGTCAGCTATAGAAACCCTATTAATGTCTATTTGATTTTAGTTATGGACATATCTCTAAGCACATGATAGTGGAATCTAACATATCAATGAGGAAACCCAAACCTTTTGTAAGTCAAACACTTATTTTTTATATTTGTGTAAAATTTATCTACACGAAATTTATCAAGATACATCTTATTTGTTAGCTATTTAATGTTTTACTTATTTTCAACTTTCCCTTATCCAACCGTCCATTTTGAATGGAGGGCTAAGATTGTTCCAATCACAATGTCATGTTTCTACATTATTTTATTTTAAATTTTTTTTATAAACTATTTTTACACCAAATTTTGGACGTCCAATCATCTGTTAAACTCGCACTAGCTAAAAATATTTTCAATAAAATAAAATGATCAAAATACCCCTGAAAGTTTTAAGAGATATTTTGGTTATTATATTTTATCGAAAAATTATTTTTAATATTTTGTATAGGTACGCCCCAATGAGTAGATGGCACGTACAAAATTTCATATTCATAAAAATTTGTACAAAAAATAGTTAAAAATAAAAAACTGGATGTAAAAATAGTGAGTGATTCTCTTTATCAAAATTGAACGGCTGCATAGAAAGGGAAACATAATCCCTTAAAGGTTGGCTCGAATTTCATTGTTTAGAGCCTAGGCCCTGTACAAACTGCACCTTGGATAGTGATTGATTGGGTAGTGATAGAATCTCATAACCATAGAAACTTAGGATCATAGTAGTCAAACTGTATGGTCAATAGCTCATTTGTTAAAGGCAATTTTGTACCGCAATAACTTTTGGTCATTGTCTAATATGATTGGAGAATCTTTTTACCAACCATATCTTTCATGACCAATACTTGCTGCCATATAGTAGGCCAATATGTCTCATATAAGACATTAGTACTCTTGATCTTAGATAGTACATATAGATCCTAAATTATATAAGGACAAGGTTCCTGTGAACTTTTTAGAGATCTACCTCATGAACTTATTAGAGAGGTTACTTGTTTTTTTGGGTAATCCAATGGGGAAGACATCCCCCTACCCATCTTTTCATATAGTTAAGGAGTTAAGTTTTTTTTTTTTAAGGTGTCAATGGGTAGTGTCGGTGGAAATGAAAACCACATCGTGATGACTTGGTGTGGGGGTGCTATCAACAGCTTGACCTTAGCCCTTTATAGAGCTTACTTGTTAGCCTTTCTCTCAATAACAAATGCATTCTTCACTATTCAAGCTCCAGTCAAGAGAATGGCCTCAGGCCTTGGCGGTAGTATTGTCAAGTCTTATGGGGAGGTCTTTGACTCCGTTCTCACCAAAAAGTAGAGGTCCAAATCCCCATTGACACACTACTTTTGAGAATGACTTGAGCATTGATATTAGTATTGCCGAGCTCTATGGAGTAGTATTTGACTCCATTCTTATCAAAGGGTTGGGGCCTAAATCCCTACTGACATACCACTTTTACTTGCCAAAAAAATAAACGTGACTCGAGTTCTTGATAAAAGTCAAATCAATTCGCTACTCTGGCTCTAGGCAACCTCTCTAGGCGTACAAAGTAGAAATGTGATTACCAGTGGTTCACTGAGGTGATTAGTATCCTAGAGGTATCTTCGCAAAAGCCCTATTGAAATTTGGAATTTAAAGCAATAGCAATTAAAACTGTGCAAGCCTAGTTCATAAACCAGCGTTTGAATTTATGCCCCTCTGAGCTTTCATGTTCTTGTTTTGAGCGTAATACTAAGTTCCATTGCTGCTTCACCCAACCAAGCTGCTGTTAATAATTTTATTTGCCATTAACAGTGTCATTAAGAATTTTCAGAGGCATTAGCAGTCATATATTGCTTTTATGCAATCAATCTCGCGCCATGGTTAAACCAACACAAGCAATGTATAAGATCTCGATCAGTACCAATGATGGCCTAAGTCGCTGCAAAATAACTTCAAGAGATGACCTAGGGATGGCAATGGACCTGGACCTGAAGACCGGACCTGAGTTGGGTCTGGGCATGGGTCTAAAATGTGAATCTAGTGGGTTGGGTCTGAGTCTAAATATTGGACCTAAATACTATTCGGGTATGGGTCCATGTAGACCCAACTCGGGACCTGACGACTGGGTCCAAAATGTGGAACCGGCGGGTTGGGTTTTGATCCAAATATTGGACCTCAACAATATTTGCTTATGGGTCCATATGGACCCGACTGGGACCCAACCCGAATAGTCATATTATTTAAATAATATTAATAGATAAAATTTTAATAAATATTTAAATAAATACAATTATATAGTTTAGTTATAATGTTATTTGATAATACATTTATGTATTTAATAAAATATTTAAATATATATATTTTTAAGTTTTTGGGTCGGATCCTTTCGGATACTGGCCCAGTCGGATTCAGGTTCAAGTCCAATAATTTTTTTCCGACTCGGACCCGGACCCGATCCAACGCATTGCCACCCCTAAGAAGGTCACTCCGATTAGTTGTTTTGTGACAACCATTTCGAGGCTAATTGCATCACGGTTGAAGCTAAGAAGACATAAATTGTGATTTTCTTGGAGCCGGAAACCAACAGAATAAATGCATTAGATCTCGATCAGATCCATTGGTGGCCTGCAATGAACAGTGGAGATGATCTGTAACTTTACTTGATGG